GCGCTATATATATATATATATAACGTACCCGTCATGTCGTTTGACATCCACGGTATAAGACCCCTCAGATCAGGGATCCAATCCCCTCTGACACAATTGAGCTTAAGAAGGTGGTACTCGAAATTTAGGCTAGTATGATAGCTTCTGGTTCTCATATATTTTCATCACGGGTTGAAGCCTTTGAGTGAGGAAATAAGCTATATGATGAAAACAGCAATATTTAATCTTTTATTTCACAACGTAAAATGGGAAGAATATATCTTAGAAATAATGCTCTTTAATTTTTTATTATAAGATATATATCAATATGTGGTATCCTCAATTTATGCCTTTTTTATTTGCAGGTTCTTATAAAAATCAAATGCATTATACTTCTGTTAAATGTTATTAAGATGAGATGTGATGAACATGCAACTAATCCACCTTCTTTTATTTCTAACAAGAAATATAAAATTTGGTGATATTTAAACTTCAACTCAATTATTTTCCTTGCAAGTTCATGAAATTTTTGCTCAGATATCATCATCAATATTCAGCTCAAGATGTTAATTAGACATACACTCTAAACCTGTAAAAAACTGTTTTTGCAAGCTATTTCTTCTTCTTTTAGAAGACAAAATCAAAGCACTTACAATCAATTATTTCCTAGTTATCTTGCCAAGAATATATGGTCTCTTTGCTATGATACTGCAGATTCTATTGAGTCATATAGAACCATTAACAGAACAGCAGATATTAGGAATATGTGGCCTGCAGCAGTCAACACAGGAAACAGAAGAAGCACTAAGCCAAGGGCTTGAAGCCCTTCATCAATCTCTCTCCGACACAATTGCCTCCGATGCTCTTAGCTCCCCTTCCAACATGGCTAATTACATGGGCCATATGGCCATTGCCATGAACAAGCTCGCTACTCTTGAAGGTTTTGTCAGACAAGTAAGTTTTCAATTCTCTAAGATCAGGCCTTTAAGTTTTCCTTATCAAGATGATTGACTGATTAAACCATCATTAATTCCTAATAATTTTAAAATGATTTGATTTGAGGATTTCTAGTTCTTTATTTCCAAGCTTATATCAAATTGTTAGGTGATCAAGATGGAGCTAAAATATTGGTTAATTGCTTTGGTTTGACGGAATCAAAATACTGAATGTCTAATATTAATAATCAAGAGCAGACCTTCCAAAACCTTATTCTAACCACTTTCTACTGAAAAAAATGATTGAGCTTTAACAAATTAAAGTTGGGGGACAACAATGGGAGAAATTTGTGGACAGGCTACGAGTAAAATTAACTGCTCGTTTGGTACATAAGAAGAAAATAAAAAAAAAGTGGTTACAATCATTAATGTTAATGATGATAGGAGCTAAATGGGAAAAGTGAAAGTTTGTCGACGTGTTTTAAATGTTGTGGAGATTTAGGATCTGTTTGGGGCAGCTGCAGCTTATTGAATAATCTGCTGATAAACTGATTAAAAATAATCTACTCATAACTTAGGTGCGATGACTATTACAATTTTTTATTATTTTGGAAGTCTGATCGCTCCCAGAAAGTTTAAACATATGAGTTTTTATATTTAGACTAGTTTAGAAAATGGTTTTGGAAGATTTAAGTGTGAAGAAAACTCACATTTAATAAAGAGAAAAAAATGACATTTTTTTATATCAATTCTTTCTATTCTATCAAAAAATAATAACTTGAACTTAACATTAAAACTCTTATAATGATCTTATTATCACTAAGACTTATAGGCAAATGCTCCACTGAAAAATTTACTTGTAATAAATTATAAGCCATCAAAGATATTATAGCATTAGCCTTGCATCATTAACATCTTCTGTAGAATGGCAATGATTTCATGATCTTGATAGTTAAGATAATAATAGGGAATTACACGATGAAATTAAGTAATTTATATGTTAAATCATCTAAAATCACATGAGATGACAAAAGTAATATCACCTTAGAGAGCTTTACCTCTGATTGAAAGCCTCACATTCCCAGAGAACACTAATATTTGTAATTAAATCACTCACCTAAAAAAACAATAAAATATGAACTTTTGTTGCGTATATGTACTTTGTTTTTAAAAGCTTATAATTTACATTAATGTGTCCCTTTTAAGAAAATTAAATAAAAAAAAAATGAGACGATGAATACATCATCAGTTCATCAGGACATAACTATTTAAACTTGGCAAGATATCAAAAGCTGCACGCATCCATCTTTTAAAAGTACTTGTGACCTCAAAACTGCATAGTTGACCAACTGCAAAAACTTCTCAAAGCCAAGCAGAATGATAAAATAAAGAAAATGTCATTCAGTCATCATTCTTGTTAATAAAATAGAATTTGAAACAAAAGATTATGTTGGCATAGGAGAAAAATATTGCATCAGGACATCCGTACGTCCGGACGGTCAATTATGAACCCCGTGTCACCAAAATGAGATGTATGAAAATGTGGTCCCCTGTCCATGAAAAGATAACCAAACAAATCCGTACGACCATACTATGATACAAATTTAAATTTAAATAATATAACCTAAACAAACTCATGGTCACCAATGCCACCTACAGAGGCTAGTGATCCATAACACCAATTATGTTGATCAAAGAACATCAAATATTAAATCACAAACTTTATCAAATATACGCATAGAATTTAAGACTATAGTAATGCATAAAACTTAAAAGAAATTCTGAAAGATTTGTGTCTGCTTACAGGCAGATGGATTGAGGCAGCAAACACTTCACAGGCTACACCAGATCCTGACCATTCGTCAAGCTGCACGGTGCTTCCTCTCCATTGCTGAGTACTTCCATCGCCTCAGAGCTCTCAGCTCCCTTTGGCTTGCCAGACCAAGACAGGAGTAAGCCCGCAAGCCCTTCTGTTTAATTACTAAAAAAACAAATCAGAGAGAAGAAAAGAAAAGGCTAGATATGATTGCCAGCTTCATGTTCTTGAAGCTCATAATTTTTAGCTAGCTAGATTAGGTTCCTTAATTTGACTGGCAGATAAATGTATAGATAGGTGTATACATACCTTTGAGAGTATGGATTATAATGAGACTTAGTTCTCATCATTTACCTTTCTATGGAAGGAAACTTTTGAGCTATCTAATACCTTGTGTTCCAGGGAACGTTGGGCAGTCTTTTTCTGATCTTTTCTTAGAGAATTTGTGCTCTAGTTGCATTTTGCTTAAAAATTGTGACACTGTAAGTAACTCATTTTAGCACACATTTCGATGAATGTAGTCGAATTAGTTGATGAAATTTGGACATGATGAGTGATGACCATATAGCAAGTTAGTGTAGGTACAGAAATGGAAGCATGCCTTAAGAATAATTTTGGTGTATGGTGGCAAGTAACATCTCTCTCTTTTTTTTTTCCTTTTTTTTATAATTTATTTTAGCTGGTGATGTCTTAATTTGGTCTTTGATTGATCTCATTATGGCTGTGATTATAATGATATCATCTTTATTTATGATTTATTTTAAAGCTTTATTAGTTTGGCTGAGTGATGAAAGCTGAAGGTATGATAAAAAGGATATGTACTAATTTAGATGTGGAAGTTGAATAAGTCGCAAGGTTTTTGTGCTTTTAAGGTTGTCAACTCTTTACACATTATTTCTTAGGTACGTATTCATGGCAAATCTTTTATTTAATAATGAAGTACTAGTTTACTTTTTTTGATGGGGGATTAGAGACCACATGAATTTGAAGACTAGTAATATTATTAAGATTAGAAATAGATGTGTACAAATGAAGCCTAAAATATACTTAATGAGAAAAAGCTAAAACATTTTCATATTTAAAATATAGAAGTCCAAGTTCTATCATCTAAGCAAATTAAGAAGTCTCAACCCAAGTTAAGTCTGGAATAAGTCCAACTTATGTTTAGATGAAGGCTACAAAAACACCCTAAATACTAGGAAGAATCACAAACAAAGCTATTCGAGGTCCGGGCGAAGGATATATCACATCACTGTTAGATGAGCAGTTCATTTATGGAATGAAGTTTCACTAGCAAGATATGGCTAGGCGTATAAGTAAGTTGTGCCGCTAGAACTAGACACAATAATGAGCTCACGAGTCAAATTTATTGAGCTGCAAGCTGTTTGTTAAGCGAAATCAAGCTCATGCTTGTTGAGACTCAACTTGTTAGCTCTCGAACTGGCTCAACTAGTCAAATTCAAGTCACGTCAATGTCTTCTCCAGTGAGCTCTCCATAGATCGTTTAGATGACTTCGTCGGTGACTCTCATGTCAATTTCATTCAAGCTTACTGCTGGCATAAATCTTTTTATGTCACGAGTGTAAGGTGTCCGCCTGCGTGGTTCGAGATGATATACGGTTCGTCCGTATCATTTGACAGTTCAAGACACCAAACCTGAGACTCTTTAGCACATGTTCAGAGAAAAGAGCTAGGGTTGATAGTGATTTAACCTTATCTCCCGCAGTTGGGAAGGTTCATCTAAAACATGGAACATATTTTGTGTTCATCTTGGTGTTTAGAGGTTACCACATGTTTTTTTGGAGCCTCCCATGGTGAAGGTAAGCCATGGCATCCTCCTACACGTGCTAAGGTAAAGTTAGTGTTTAGGACACCCTACCTACGTCGTGGCTAAGGATGAATGTTGGAAACAATTTCCTTGGCAAATAATCGATGAGAATACTCAAATTTGAATTTATGGGATTATATTTCACTCATATGGAGTCCATCATAGCTTACAGATCAATAAAATCCTCTATAAAGCGTTCCCGATGAAAATCAGGTTTCGGGGCTAGACCGACGCTTACGTGCCGGCATCGGGTGCCTGGGCGCCCAAAGTGCCTTTTCTGGACATCTAACATGAGACATTAGAAGTTTAGCACCAGTCATTGGCGTCTGGGTGCTTAGGCGCCAGTTCTGGGGGCCTAAGAGCCCAAAACAACCTAAAAATCAGCATTTTCATGAGAGTACGTAAGTCTGGCTCTAAACCTGGTGCCTAAGCACCACGAGCCTGGCAACATGGCGCTAGAATGACGTCTAGGTTCCAGGGACCAGGCGTCTAGGCTTCGGTTCCTTCCCTGGTGACATAATATGATTGTTTTCTTACATCATTTTGTTAGAATGGCAGTGGTCGTGCTGATGAGCCTTGGGACAGTAAAAGAGGGTGTGAAATACCTCTTTTACCCTACGAAGCATGCTAAGAGTTCTACCAGGGGCCTTTCAATAAATTTGTAAGATGCACTAGCTTAAACTGGGCAAAAACCTCATTTCCCCCTCTCACTCTCGAGCTCTCTAGGGTTGGCGCTCAGGTTCTGTCTCCTTCTCCCTCTTCATTTTCATCGAAGGACGGCTGAAGAGAGTTTTTAGGGAAAGCTAGAAGAGGCATTTGAGAGACACGTGGGAGAGCCGTGAGAGGTGTTGTCGGGAAAGGCCTCCCTTTTTTAAAAAGTAGGAGAGGAGGAAGAGCTACTCTTCTCCTCCTTCTTCTTCTTCCTCTTCTCATCTGTCTTCCTCCACCACATCTCTCGAGTGTGCATGAGGAGATCATCATGAGGAGAGCATCCTCCTAGCTCAATGAAAAATCGACGGAGGATTGCCGCGGAACCATCAGGACATGAGCTTCTCTCCTACAGATAGGAGAGCTTCCTTCTACTTGAAAATATGCATCTATAACCTTTAGAGTGGTGAGAACCTCTCCAACCTTTGCATTTTCTTACTTAGCTAGCCTTATGTTAGTTTAAGTGAGGTGTTGTGGGTTCAGTCGCCCACATGGGTGAGTTGGCCTTCCGACTCAAGTCTCGGTGATGTTCTCTTTTATCGGTGATTAATTTCATAGAGCTCTATATCAGAAAGCTTTCATTGGATGCTCCTAGAGAATCTGAGCAAATTACTCTCCGTGAGCTCTGGATATAAATCCCAATAGGTTGGAATCCCAATTTCCTATGGCTTTGGCGCTCCTAATCTTCCTTGGAAGGGTTGGTTGAGTTCAATATCAAAGGATGGGAAAAACGTTGTAGCTAGCAAATCCTACAAGATCGCGGGAGTTCGTATGACAAAAAAAGCTTTGTAGTTAGTCCGCTCTATGAACGGTGAATGACTTCCACTATGAGAAATTGGAGGGTAAAATCTTTCGCATCTCCGTGCCAAAGTCAGAGGCGGCTATGCTGCTGATTCAAGAGCATCAACCCTAGGTACCTATGCGAGGTCATCAGGACAAATTTTTATGTACCATCGAGCGTCTAGGTTGCATTACATATGTGTGGCCATTTGTGGCATTTTTGGATTGTGAATCATATCACATATTGTATTCATGATTGCGTGAACACTTTGGGTCCATTGATTATCCTAGACAGATCCCCATTCCTTTTGGGTTTAATTGGCTGTCACGGGCCGATCACCCTATCTTTCAGATTTGATCAATCGATATGTGTCGATCACCCACTTTGGGTTTGATCGGCCGTCATTTGTTGACCACATCATCTTTTGCGATTGATTGAATGCTAGGTGTCAATCACTTGATTCAGGTTTGGTTGGCCGTCTTAGACCAATCACTCTATCATTTGGGTTTGATCGATCGCTATGTGTTGATCACCTACTTTAAGTTCTATCAACTATCTTAGACTATTCACTTTATCTCTTGGGTTTGATTGACCACTATGTGTCGATCATCCTATCTTCTAGGTTTGACCGACTGATACATGTTGATCACCTGTCTTGGCGATCGACCTTCCCAGACCGATCACTCTATCCTTTGGGTTTGACCAACTGTCTCAAGCCGATCACCCAATCCTTTGGGTTCGGTCAGCTGTTCTGGGCCAATCAACTGATCCTTTGGGTTTGATCGACCGTACCGGACCGATCACCCAATCCTTGGGGATTGATCGACTGCCACATGTTGATCACCCACTTTGGGTTCGATTGGTAGTCCTCGGTTGAACAGCCAATCCTTTAAGTTTGATCGGCCAACCCGGACCAATCACCAATCTTTTTGGGTCCAATCAATTATATCAGATCGATCCACTCGCTTTTTTGGTTCAACCGACCGTCACGACCTGATCGACTAATCACTTGCATGTTTGTATGTTTTTGCATTATATTACATATTTTTATGTATGTGCACGTGTATGATTGTGCGCTTTTCATTTCTATTCGTGTTTGGTCACCATTAGAGCAAGATTTAATTCTCCCCAATGGTGTTCTATACCCTAAGCGACCAAACACAATTCTTTTCGTGATGTGTGTCTTGCATGACATCTTGCATAGTTAGTGTCATTTGCTTGCTTGAGTTGCACGTTGAGTGTTCATTCACACACTCAACCCACTTGTGTGATTCTCCCCGGTGAGAGTCATCACACTCTTTTGGGTCGTTGCCTTCACGGCATGCCCACCGTTTCAAGCCATTGCCTCTATGGCATGCCCATCCTTTGGCTCGCTACCTTCACGACATGCACACACTTTTGGTCATTGTACCATGACATACACATCTTTTGGGCCTCTGCCTTCATGACATATTAATCCTTTCAGGTCACTATCTCCATGGCATACCCATCATTTGGGTTGCTGCCTTCATTGCTTCTATATCATACCCATTTGTCGGGCTGCTGCCTTCATGACATGCTTTTCTTTTCAAGTCACTGTCTCCATGGTATACCCATCCTTTGAGGTGTTGCCTTTATGACATGCCCACTCTTTTGGGTCACGACCTCCATAAAATACTCTTCTTATGGGCACCTGCTTTCGCGACATGCCTATCCTTTCAGATCACTGCCTCAGACAACCGCCTTCACGACATGCCCACCCTTTTGGGTCATTGCCTCCAAGGCATACCCATCCTTCGGGCCTCTGTCTTCATGACATGCCTACACTTTCGAGTCACTGCTTCCATGTCATACTCATCCTTCGGGCCTCTATCTTCATGACATGCCCACACTTTCAAGTCGCTGCTTCCATGACATACCCATCCATCGAGCCTCTGCCTCAATGACACGCTCACCCTTTCAGGTCAGTCTCCATGATATACCCATCTGTCGATTCGTTGTATCCATGACATGCCCACCCTTTTGGGTTACTACCTCCGTGACAACTAATCTATTGGGTCACTACATCTACGACACACCCATTCCTTCTGAGTCACTGCTTCCACGACACACTCACCCTCACCATTCTTGTGCAAGCATGTTGCAACTCTTGCATGTTTTCATGTGTGCTTGATTAGTGACTCTCGAGTAAGATGTTAATTTTTTTTATATGTATCCATTTACTCAATACAAACTCATTTGTAATTAGTGTTAGCTTAT